TTTCCGCCCTGGGGACTCCATGGGAGGGTAGCGGGGGGGGGCGGGGAGCCCGCGCTCCGGGGTTGCCGGCGCCCGGGCCCCGCGTGCTCGCGGCGGGGGGGCTGCCGCACAGTCGCCAAGTTGTTGCTTCCTCTTTGCTGTCCCCTCCCCAGCTCCTCGCCCTCACGCCCCGGGCGGGGGGTTCTGCATAAAGCACATTAAAAGAAAAGTCCTTTCATTTGTTTGTTCCTCCAGGGTCGCGTGCTAGGGGGGTGCGAGCTCTGGAGTCCTCCGGGAGAGAGCTGGCAGATGTCCCAAGTGAAGGAGCCTCTTCCTTCAGGGCCTGAAGGGCCGGCGCGAGCAGCTCCGGCTGCGAGCAGCTTTTTGATCTCCCTCCCTCGAGGTAAGTTCCTGTAGAGTTTCTCTGTAGCGGTTGCGCCTTTTTATTTCAATGATGCGTTTACCGATTTATTGGGTGTGGCGTTTTGTTTTGGTTTTTTTTAAAAAACTCCTCTCTGGCATGGTTGGTGAACATAGTCGCTGCCACTTTCTTGTGCAAATGCTTCTCTCTGCAGCAAAGCAGAAAGCTCCCACCCCCAGTGAAATCAGGGGGCATTGGGAGAGATGCATACTACTGCTTGAACAGGACTCCCCACCCTAACTGCTCAAGCCTGGGTTTTGGTTTGTTCCTTTTTCTCTGTTTGTAAGCACTTCTGCAGCGCCCCTCAAATTCCTAACATGTCCTTACAGTACATTGAGGAATGCAGGAGCACGGACTTGGCTTAGGTTGGAGGTCAGTTTTGCTGTTTTTGTCTGATCCAATTTCTGGTCTTTATTGGCTAGCTTTGCATCCATTCTTTAAGTGGATTTTAGAAATTACTTTTGCTGAGGGCAAAAGTCTCTGAACAAACGTTTAATTTAGCACCAAATAAGTTGGGTCGAAGAGAGAACCCCCCTCCCCCTCAAAACTTCTGGACAAATAAGTTTGACAAGGCACTTATCTATTTCTCTTGAGGTAACACACGCACTGTATGTTCACTTACTGTACATCGTTATGGTGTGTGGCAATCAGGCAATGTCTTTTTCTTTTACAGCTGGCAGTTTTGATCTCAAGAATTCTGATAGTGTTATAAAAAGAAGTAAGTCTCTGAAGAATAGAAAGAAGAAACTAATTTCAAGTTGTAACTTTATACATAGCTGGTAACTGAAACACAGCATGGTAACACAGTTGCACAATTGTATAATGAGGCTACAGTCTTTTTTTGGCAACTTCTTTAAATCCATAGCTCCATGAAATCAAAGTTGAAGCCTCATTTGAGAAACCAGAAAGTATCCGTAGCTAAAGAAAAATGTTCTGGCATGGAGAAATGTTATATTGGCTTATACTCATCTTATTGTTTTCTTGTCCTAGAGAGTGACTCATAACTTCTAAACAGAAAAAAATAAAAATGATTAGATACAGAAGATTAAGCACGCAGAACTGCAAAGTTAGAACCTTGTTTTTGCCAGAACAACCAGAATTTATAATACATATTCATTTTCAACAAACTTATTTCTGTTGCATATAAAGTGGTGCATGATTGAATGCCCATTCTTGTTAAACTTTGCATGTAGGCCATGCATAAAAAAATTACTGAAGTTTTAGTAAGTGCATTCATTCGTTTGGGAAAATAGCTTTAATTTTAAAATGTATGGCTTTAAATTGGGTTTTTAAGTATGAAATAAATTAGTTTTTTCCATTACAAGAAAACAAATTATGTTTCAGAAATCGTCATGGCATCTACTTTGATGTGCAGGCACATGCATGTATCTCTCTGAAATATAGAGATACAGGATCATATTATAAAGAAACAATGGGTTTCCGAGCAGTTTGTAAGATACTGACTTGGGTTTGACTAGGTCCCTGCAAAAACTTAAATACTTGGTCAACATTACAAATACAAAAAATTCAGTTGAAGCATAGCTGTTTGTCTATCTTCAACTTTAGCATATATGGTATATTTTTGTTCTATGAATATCAACTTCATTAGTACTTGTGGATGTTTGTTACTTTCCTGTAGCCTAAATCTGTGGAGGGGGGTGGTGAAGGGAGGAAGTTTGGAAAGAGGAAGAGGTGAGTTCATAACATTTCCAATCATTATTCCAGAACTTCAGCTGTCACATTTTCAGTATGTGGTTACAATGCAAGGTAGTCCAGATATTCCAGAACAGAAAACTTAGAAAAAAGTGTTCAGAACTTTCACCTTTACAAATGTTATTGTTCTATTGTACAGAAACTTATTACAGCGTGTTCCATGTACATGCATAGGCGGGGGACCCACTTATCCAAACTGTAAAGAATACTCATGGAATACATAGCTTTACCAGTATTGTAGTATTAACAGTCCCCAAACTGGCTCCCCTCATTTTTCAAGGCTTCTAATAGCAGACATGACAGTGACTATGAGCAAAGTGAGAGCGTAGTCACTTTTGGGGCTGCTATTACCACAGTCTTGACAGTGCTGTGCAGTTAATAAGCATCACTTATATCACTGTCAGTGCTCTGGTAGTCGCAGCACAGAAACTGGCTAGTTCCATCACTTTCAAGACTTCTAATAATCAGTTTCAAGACTGTTATTAGAAGTCTTGAAAATAAGGGGAGCTAGTTGGTTTCATGGCAACTTAGGTCCCCTAGTTTTCAAGGCTTCTAATAGCAATAGCTTGATAGCTGCTTCCCCTTCACTGCTTCTGGCACACATAGAGGGAATAGGATTAGTTACTAAGGCAGCAAATACAGCTAGAGGTAATGTGCAGTTAATGGGAATACAATAAAGATGCTAAGATGTTTATAAACTTGAAAAGTGTATGCACTTAAGACATATGAACATAACAGGAGTTTGTTACTCTATAAACTGTTAGGAAATGAACTGGGACCAGAGTTGTCCTGATGCACTTATCTGGTATGCATATAAGTGGAATATGCTGTATTGAATCTCAGGATGAGAAAAATGAGGCCCATGGTCACAAAACCATTCTGGTGCCTAACTTCTGTTTTGCATGCATACATTCCATTACAATTATCTGAAACAAAGTCTGTTAGCCCTTGACACCTTCAATTTAGTTGCTTTCATTTAGGCTTCAGGATACTTAACAATTAAGTCTCTGGTTGTAAGAATGTGATTCAAAGAGAGGCAGTTAGGGATTCAGGCTCTGTATACAATCAGTGGGACGGTTGGTGTCTCTGAAGGGTGTTGCAGGGAGTCACCTAGAAAGGAAACAGTGCAGAGAGGTGTTCTTGAATACCTGGAATTTTAGGCACCCAAATTAGGGCTGCACATTTGGTGCCCATCTTCAGGATCCTGAGTGTAAAGACCTTTCAGAAGGTAGCCTAGTGGTAGTAGTGGTGGTGTCCATTTTTTACATAATACCACTCACCCAGTGAGTCACTGAACTCTAGTCCCTCCATAGCTTGAGGATATTCAAACCTGTATTTCCTACCACGAGACTACAGAAGGGTCTGAGTGGAAGTGCACTGCATCTTTCACAGTAAAGCTGGGCTACCTTATAGCCAAGACTTGCAAAAATGATCGAGCTATGAGAACAAGCAAGAGGGAGTATGACTCCTACAGGTCATTGGTGAGGGCAGTAAGCTGGGTCGATGTGTGTGGGGAGCAGTGGGGCATATCCTAGGTTTTGGATCTGGCTCCTAGGAAGCCATTTTGCATTATTGTATGTTCTGTATTTTACATTAGACAGTCATTGGATAAAACCCAGAAATAATCCTTATCCTAAGTTTTAATGTCTAGAAATCTTTGCAATCTGAGATGTAATTGTGAGTACCTAGTAAGTTTAATGCTACTGAAGCAAGTATTCTGGACTACTTTTTGCGGTGTAGGTACCTAGTTTAACAGGCTGGGTTTTGCTCCAGATTCTCCAAACTGTATAGGTGCCAACTACTCATTTAAATGGACAGTTGCGTACTCATATATGAATAAAGCTCTTTTTGGAGCTTGAGTCCCTGACTTCAGTTTAACAGCATTGTTTTGGGCGAACATAAACAAGTTTATATAATTGTTTAAATAACTTGCTTCTTGAGGACATCCACTTCTTCCTGTCTTCCTTAATTCTGCAATGTATCTCAAGAAAAGTAGATTCTGAAGGTGTTCCCTTCTTTTCACTTCATGTAGTCTCACAATTGCACTACAGAGCCTAAATGTCCTCTTCCATTGCAATGCATGTGCATACACACATATGCACAGACCAGCTAAGTGAATTAAAAAATACTCCACTGTAGCACACAACTAACAAGTGTGTTAAGCAGATACTATCATGACAGATTTGGGAGAAAGAGATGATGAGGGCAGCAGAGGCTGCAAAAAAGCATATAGACTACATCTAAGTTTATTGTGTGTATGTGTGTGTGCTTATGCTATGCTTGCCAACATAACAGATGAACATATTTCTCTCTGTCTCTCTCTCTGTCTCATTACCCCATTTTAAAATGACTTTATTCACACAAATATTTACCCAGTAATCAGAATTTGGCTCTTCATAATTGCTGGGCTGTGATCTGTGTGAAACAGTGATATTTTAGTACTCAGTTTTGATTTTAGAGGGTCCATATGTGTCAAGGAAATGCGCTGCTCTGGAATCTGAGAGAACCCAAGGGTTAAAGCTGTATATATCATTGCAAAGGGGCTGGGGGGGAAGGTTGGGGGGCTGTAGCCACCCCTTAGCCCCCCCCCCACCCCATAGCCATCTCTCCTGGCACTGTCCCTGTTCAACCCTCCTACCTGGGCCCCTCCTGCCCACCCCACGCAACTGAGCCCACCCTGCAGCCCATGGGGCCCATGTCTCACCTTTGTTTGTGTAACCCCCCAAATTTCTGTCTAGGCCACCTTAGTCCACCCCACTAGGACGAGGCTGGTGCCACCCCTGCAAAGGGGTAGCTAGGTTTTTTTCCCCTCCCTTC